TTGCAGATCTACGGCCGTTAGCCAATCAAAATCGAGGATCATCCGCGCATTTTTTGTGCGGCAGCTAGGTTCAATTTTTTACATTACAATTTTCCCGCATCACGTTTTCTTCCCTTCACACTATGAAGTGAAATAATACGTATCCATGTTATTAGAATGGGTTCCATTTGACAGATTTGAAAAACAAGATATTTATTGGTACCATGGGTTCAGTACTGTATACCAGCTACTTAGCTACACGGAAAAGAGAATTAAATTAGTTAAAGTTCCTTTAACCCTGTAAAAACTTTAATAATTTTTTTATAGGTGGTAATATACAGTACCATTCGTTCATTGATAAACAAATAAATTTAAGTTTTTATTACCATTACAATTCGTTTTATTAGAGTACGATTAATACTCTTGAGAATTCAATATATAGCAATAGTAACAGTGTATTTAATTATAATATTTTCTTTTTTTAAAACACACAATTTCTAGTATACAATATAAAGGACCGAAAATTATAGTATAAATATAACGTATGAGATATGAAAAAATATTATGTGCATAATCCCGGTGCCAATTTTCAGGTGTCTTATCTATCATTTCAAATTTACTACATAAATCATCCTTTAAATGCATCCACATAGCTCTGGTTTGCTTTATTTGATCATCATCAGGCTGTTTTCTCTCCATAAGTGGCCACCATTCTGGATAATACTTTATTGTATGTTCTTTAAATATAAGACCATTTTCACCATTTTTATCAAAATAAAAGTCACCAAAATTCTTGGGCTCATTACATATTTCTAAACATGCTTCATTTGATTTTAAATTTCTAACACCATTGAAACATACCATAAAATGAATTGATGCTCTGTGATTTGTATTAGGTTCATGTTCTGCTATTTCACATTTTGAGCTATAAATTTTGAATAAATTATTTTTTTAATAGAAAGTTTCTAATGGCTACCGCCCGTAATTATCATCTACTATTGACCAATGACCATTAGAAAACACCGTTTATAATCTTTTGAAATGTTAACTTACCCACAATACGGGCATCTATGTCGACATCCTTGAACTTTGTTCCAATAAGATTGCTTAGAGCGTTCTAGTTGGTCTGTTAATGATTTTTTATATAGATCTGCTAGTTCATCAATCCATGATGACCTAAATTTTTGCAAGTATTTACTATGATCTTTTTTCTAATATAGCACAAAAATCTTGAGGTGAGCTAATAATATATTTTCCAAGAATTCGTATTGTATACTCTATTAAATCATTGGTTTCATCATTGATCCCTATTGTACTCATAATTTTTTCAAGAGTTAAATTTTTTTCCAACGATGTCGAAAAATGTTGTTTCAAAGTTAATATGTTTTCGCCAAGTTTTTCTAAAACAATATAAATAAGTTTCTCTATTAGTTTTAATATTTCTCCTGCTCTTATATTTTTAATAATATCAATTTCCTTCTCAAATAATTCTCTCATAATGAAGTTGGATCATTTTCGTATTTACGAGTTTTTTCAACATCATAGGCACCAAAACTCTGTTCATAAGCATAACGGGTAGGATTTCTATCTTTGCTCATCCAATTCTTCAATTCAATTTCGAACACTTTTGAAAAAACATCTTCATGAACTATTATTTCTTTGACTGATTGGGCAATACACTTGAAAAAAAGGTTGGAAATATTTTCGCAAGAAGAATTACTTAATATATCATGAAAATATTTTAACAAATTGTTACGAAGGCTTTTGAGATTAGCTTTTTGCAAGTCTTTTCCATTTCACAGCATTGGTCTCTAATGTGGTAAAAACCTTAAGACGCAAATATTGCTTGAAATATATATATAAATTAATAAAAGTGTATAAATTTAGCATTATTATTTATGATATGATATAATTATATACCTCCATCGAGCTAAAATCTTCAATTTCAACTTTGAAAGGGTTTTTTAATTGATTGAAATCATTAGTTTGCACAATAAAAACATTATTGCACAATTTTTTAAGCCACTCTAAGGCTTGACTAGGTTCAATTGCAAGGGCATTTCGAGACAAAAGGTCTTCACATATTTGTTTACAAGTGTCTTCAATTTCTGCTCTAATCCTATTTGTAACTTCCTTTTTAAATACAGTCTTTTCTGTATAATCTAGACAAATATAGGTTCCCAAATTACTAGGATGACATATAATATTTCTAACTATTTTAATATTATCATGAAATTTCGTGTCAGAATCATCTAAAAATTCCGATTTGTTTAAAGTTTCAGGCGTTACGAGTTTATTCCAAAATTTTCTGTTAAACTTGGATCTTTCTTTTAAACAGTTCTCATCATTACTTATAGCAAGTCCAGTTTTTATAGCCTGATTGAAATATTTAACTACATGTTCTTCTAACGCTTTCGTTTCCATTATCATTGTGCGCATAAAATTTTTTTTATCATTTTCAACCTTTTCCCATTCTTTATTAAATAACTCTTCACATCTTGCTTCAGAAAAATCTCTTTTAATTTCTTCAGGCGTTGTATCTATCCTTATGATTTCTCCAACTATCTCACCAATTCGCATTTCTGCTGATTGTATTAGTCGAGTTTCTTTAGATTGTCGTTGCTTTTTTGCATATATTGTTTTAAAAACTACTTTTTGAGTAGCAAATTCTGTTTTAAGGTATAATACTTCTACTCGAATTTCGAAGTATTATTTCTCAATACTATACTTTTCAGAGTCTTATTCAAACTCTCAAGTTGTAGTTTTGAACTTATGAGAAG